CTTTTAACTAAAAATGGGCTCCCCAGTTACTCATTTTATACTGTTTCATTTCCTTTATAGAACTTATATCAATTCGTTGTTATCATGCTTATAATTGTTTACTTGACTTTGGTTCCATCTCTGCCAGGCTCCATTGAGGGCAGGGATCATACTGTCTGTTAATGGCGCTATTGTCCTTGTGGTTTAGAAGTGCTGTGGGATGGTAAGACTTTCACCAGGCATTTTTGAATGGATGAATCAAATGAATACATGCAAACCATTCTCTCCAAGATCCTGATCTATCTCTTTACTATCCTTGGAACTGTCCCCGACCATCCTAAATACACTGCCCTGGTTCAGCGCGTTTAATCACCTCCAACTGTATTTCTAGACAATCTCCTACTGAATGGCTCTCTGTCTCTTTCCCCAGTCACATCCTTTCTCCACTCAGCGAGTCATAGGAAATGAGCTATAAAATGAAAATGAGATTGATGTCACCCCAGGCTTCAGCATACAAGAGGCCCCTGTTTACTTGCAGGAGGATTTCAAGTTCTCATCGGCACTCAAGACCACTTAGTGCCTCCTGGCTCCTCTGCTCTCCTTGATGGCATCATTACACGAATCACCCTCCACCACCATCACTCACTATGACCACAAACACAAAAAACACCCTACAGTTCCCTAAACAGTTAGTGAATGTTTCTACAATTCTCACTTTTGTGAATGTTCCTCATTCCCTGAACTACTCCCTGTCCCCCTCCCTCCATCCCCCAATCCACACCTGCTAGAATACAAGACCCGGCCCTCCTCTGGAACCAACCTCACCACACACTGTGGTCACTACTTCATCAAAGCGCACATTATGAGCGCTCTGCATCCTACTGGTCATGCAGCTACCCAAGCAGCCATATCTGTGTGCCATGTCAACAAATGCTGCCCAAGGGGTCATTCAGGAGGAGCTTGGACTGTAAGAGTTACGAGGATTCAAATCCATTCAAGTGATCTAACATCTTCAAGCCTCCAGATTATTTTTTTGTTTTTTTTTTTGTTTTTGTTTTTTTTTTGAGGCAGAGTCAATCATCTGTTGCTCTGGGCTAGAACTGCTGTGGCACTCAGCCTAGCGTCACAGCAACATCAACTCCTGGGCTCAAGCGATATCGTGCCCAGCTTCCCAGTAAGCTTGGGACTAGACAGGCATCGCACCACGCCCCGGACTAATTTTTTTCCTATGTATTATTTAGTTTGCCATTAATTCTTTATATTTTATTTTTTATTATTTTTATTTTCTTTTATTTTTTTTTGAGACAGAGTTGGCTTTGTTAGCCCAGGCTAGAGTGAGGTGCCGTGGCAATCAGCCTAGCTCACAGCAACCTCAAACTCCTGGGCTGAAGCGATCCTCCTGCTCAGCCTCCCGGGTAGCTGGGACTACAGGCATGTGCCACCAATGCCCCGGTATTTTTTCTATATAAACTTTAGTTTGGACCATTAATTTCTTTCTATTTATAGTAAGACGAGGGGTCTGGCTCTTGCTGCAGCGCTCTGGTTTCGAATCCTGACCATCGAGCAATCCGCTCGCCTCGGCTCCCAGAGTGCTAGGATTAAGGCGGAGAACTTCTTTCTATTTATGGTAGAGATGGGATTTCACTCTTGCTCAAGCCTGGTTTTGACTCCTGACACTTGGTGATCCGCCCCCGCCTCCTCGAGTTGTTGTTACGCATGACCTTCGCCTCAAGCTCAGAGTTCCTGTTCAATGAGAGATGACAATTGTATCTGTTTCATGGATGGGTGCCTACTTCTGTGAGGATCAAATAGATCTATGTGAGGGTTTAGTGCAGCTAAGCAGATAATAGAGGCTTAAGTGAATAGATTTCAGGATTGTCTATTGAAAAGCAACCACACTGCGCGGCGTGGTGCTCACGCCTGTAACCCTAGTCACTCTGGGAGGCCAGGCGATGTGATTGTCTGAGGTCGGAGCGAGTTCAAAACAGCGTGAGCAGTGCCGAGACCCAGTCTACTACTATAAATAGAAAGAAATTAATTGGCCACTAATATATCACAGAAAAAATTAGTTGTGCATGGTGGCACATGCCTAGTTCCAGTTACTTTGGAGAGGCTGAGGCAGGAGGATTGCTTGGCCAGTTGGGGATTGATGTGTTGCTTGTTGACTAGGCTGACGCCACGGCATCACTCTAGCCTGGGCAACAAAGCGGACTGTGCTCAAAAAAGAAATGAAAAGTAAAAGGCACACCACTTAAGTGGCAGTTTTATCTTTTTTTTATTTCAGCATATTATGGGGTTAAAATTCTTAATGGTTTCAATTAATGCCTTACCCCCTCGCCACCAAGTCGACTTCAGTGTGACCATCCCCCAGAAGGTGTCATATTCATTCATTATGATTATGTAGTGTATATACACCCTTTTTTTTTTGGAGACAGAGTCTTGGCTCTGGTTGCCCAAGCTGTAAGAGTGCTGTGTGCATCATCTATGCACCAGCAACCTCAAACTCCTTGGGCTCAAGTAATCCTCGTCACCTCAAGCCTCCTGAGATAGCTGGACTACAGGATGTGTGCACCATGGCTCCGGCCTATTTTTTTCATATATTTTAGTTGGCCAAGTATTTCTTTCTATTTTTAGTAGAGTGGGGTCTCCTCTTGCTCAGCCGCTGGCTCGAACTCTGGTGCTAAATGATCTGCCTGCTCAGCTCCCAGATTGTAGGATTTACAGGCATGCAGCCTCGCACCTGGCCACAGTTGCCAATTTTGCCAGTGATTATACAGAACACATGCAAAACAGACTCCATTACTTCCACATCCATAACTTTTAGTGACTTCCATTCCAACCACCTACAAAGCCCTCTCTAAACACTGTGCTCCCTATGCTTCCAGCCCTGGCTTCCATACACACACACACTATGCTGCTTCATGCCTCCATGCCATCGCTTACACTGTTCCCTCTGCCTAGAATGCTGTCCCACCTTTGCCCTGGTTTTTGGTGCCTTTCTTCTGTGTACTTACCTTCCATTTAACACTGGCAATCTCCCCCCAATAGAGGACAGGGAGCTGCGATTGCCTCTCACCAATTAGTATAGGGCCGACGACAGACAGTCAGGCAAACAAAATATTTGTGTTGAATATGTAGTATGGAGGCAAGACCAGAGAGGGCCAGCATGAGCTGTATGGGGAACTGGATGAGGCAGAGTGGGGTGTCAATGACTCACTCCTCAAATGTACAAATGTCTTGCTATCAAGACCAGTCTGACCTCAATGTCCTCTCCCACTCAAGGCTGCTTCTGTTACAGTATGAATTTCCCCAGGGTCTCTGGTCTGCTACAAATAGAACCTCAGTTTCCAGATAGAAGATCTTCTGAGTCCTTGGGCACGAGGTGCAATGCTGCACAGCTCTGCAGACTGAGGGAATAAAATCATGTGGTAGCTGAAAGTGGCTGTCACATATGCTGACTTTCCCAGATCCCAGGCTAGTTTTCTTCATTCCTTTAGATAAAGGAACCCAGGCACACTGGGTGTGGTGGCTCATGCCTGTAATCCTAGCACTCTGGGGCGAGGGGGGGGGATTGCTTGAGGCCAGGAGTTCAAGACCAGCCTGGGCAAGAGAGAGACCCTGTTTCCACTACTGGGTAAAAATAGAAAAAATTAGCCAGGTGCAATGGCGAGTGCCTGTAGTCCCAGCTACTTGGGAGGCTGAGGCAGGAGGATCCCTTGAGCCCAGGAGTTTGAGGTTGCTGTGAGCTAGGCTGACATCATGGCACTCTAGTCTGAGCAACAGAGTGAGACTCTGTCTCAAAAAAAAAAAAAAAAAATGGAACCCAGGCCTAAGCATGAGGGAGAAGTGTGCCTACATGCCCTTTCCCCTTGGCCTGGAGCCCCAAGCTGTCCTTTTCCATGCAGTGCTGGAAGTGGCCTGGGATCCTGAGGGCTGGCAAAAGGCAGTGAAAGGGGAGCTTGGTCACTGGCACAGCTGCTGCTATGGCAGCCAAAGCCAAAGGAGGTCACCATTGATCCCATGCACTTAATTTTCCCTTCCATGGCATGGGGCAGAGTTGACCAGGAGAGCTGAGGGGAAGGGAGCAGGTGGTGGTGCTTGAGATTGGGATGTAGCCAGTCACTTTTTCTCTATGGGCCTCAGTTTCTCCAATGTAAAATGAGGGGGCACTGTATAACTAAAATCATCATTCCCTGCTGGTCCGGACAGTCTCTAGCAAGATTGTTGTGTCTGTGAGATCACCACGGGATGGGAGGGAAGGTCGACCCTCAGATATGGGAACCCGAGAGGGTTTGGACCATGCCCAAGGAGGGCAGAACACTGCACTTGGGGACCTCTGAGAGCCAGGGACAGACTTCCCCCGCAACACACACACACACACACACACACACACACACACACACACACCAATGACCCTGGAGTCTAGACTCCCAGCCCCAGGTCTTCAGTGACTCTACCCTCCGGACAGAGACCCGAGCAAGCTCCAGGACCGCCCTGGTGCAGGGGTTCCAGGGAGAAGACCAGACCATCGCACTGCCCTGGCGTCAGGGAGGAAAGGAGGCTCTTTGTGTCCCCCTTCTCTGGCCGCCCAGGCTGCTCGGCTCGGCCCGCAACCCCAGGCCACTCAGCCCGGAGACCTCAAAGGCTCCAGCCGGCAGCGCCTCAGGCGCCCACTCCGTCCGCCCCACCCCGGCCCCGCCCTCGGGCCCCTCCCGCGTCCCTCGCCTCAGTCTCGGCCGGAAGCCCCCTCCCCCTCCCCGCCGCATCCCCCTCAGCGTACGCCCCCTCCTAGTCCCTCTCCCTGTACGGTCCGGGAAGCCTCTCGCCGCCCTGCCCCGCCCTCTTCCTCCAGCTCCAGCTCCGCCCGGGCTTCTCCGTCCAGTCCCCGAACCCACGCCCGGCCCAGGCCCCGCCCCCAGCCCCGCCCATTTCCCGCCCCGGGCCGCAGCCTGCCGCCCCGCTATTCCGCGCCCCGGCCCCGCCCCCGGAAGCCTCTCCCCGCCCCCGGCCCCGCCCCCCCGAAGTTTCTTGTGCCCCCGGAGGCCGGCGGGACAGATCGCAGAGAGCCGCCGCCCGGCCGGGCGTGGATGAAGGTGGCCGACCCGCGCGGCGCCGGGAGTGAGCGGCGGAGCGGCAGGACCGCGGGGGGCTCGCCATGGAGGAGGAGGTGAGGGCAGGGCCCGGCGCGGGGGCTGGGCTGGGGTCTTCGAGCCCCTCACGGGGTTTGGGGTCCTGGGCTCGGGCCCTCGTCCCCGTACCCCAGGCAGAGCCTAGGCAGATGGGGCGGGGGCTAGGCTAGGAATCCGCGTCCGGCACTTCGAAGACCGCGTCCTCCTTCGTTATCTCTTTGGCTTTTCTCACCAGTTGTGGGGCATCGTGTTTGTTGTTGTTCCCATTGGATTGGCAGGGAGACTGAGGCTCCGTCGAGTTTGATGACTCGTTGGGAGTGGCTTGGGCTGCTGTGTTCGAACCCCGGTTACCGCTGACTCCCCGTGCCTGCCAGGTCTGATCCTGAGGGGGCAGACTGTGCGTGTGTGTGTGTGTGTGTGTGTGTGTGTGTGTGTGTATTGGGAGGGGTTCTGTAGGTTCTGGGGTCCCTGTCTCAAGGAATATGAGGCAGTGACGATGCCTTGGTGGCAGGACTGGAGAAGTTGCTTTTTTCTCCCTTGTATAAGTCCTTGTGAATCTCCTTCCCTCCACTCTCTCCCCTGCTCCTCATCTATGAGTGTGCTCTAACCTAGGAGTCAGCCTGCCCAGGGCCCGATCCTGGCCTCTGCCTTCCCCATGTCCCTGGAGGGGCTATCTCCTGGAAGGAGCTGAGGGCTGGACCAGCAGTGCTCCTTGAGCCTCCTTCTACCCCCTTAGGACACTCTTGGACTGGGGTGGGGTCAGGCTCTCTGACCCCTGCCCTTTGCTTGCAAACTCAGTTCTCCCAGCAGCCGCATAATCCAAAGATGCAGCACACAGCAAGCACTTAATGTATGCCTATGGAATGAACAAGTTAGAAAGAGGGGCCTGCTGGGTGGAGAGATAGGTGAATTTGCTTCTTATCCCCTGAGGGGGGTCCCAGCTTCTGCCCCTCCCAGCCCAAGGGAAGGGGATGTCTTCGCTTGGATGGGTGGGAAGGAAAGATGAAGCTTTTTCTCTTGGGACAGTCCTGGCCAGCTGGGGAGCCCTGAGTGGACCAGGCTGCCTATGCCCCTGTCAGTGCTGACCTCCCCACTTCCCAAGGCCACTGTTAGGAGCAGCTAGGCTGTCTGTCAGGGTGCCCTCCAGGCCAGGCCCTGGGTTTCTGTGGGATGGTAGATAAGTCACTTCCCCTCTCAGCCTTCATTTCCTCTTCTGTAAAATATAGGCCCTGGCCTCCTCCCCTGGGCCTGACTGTATGACTGTGGCCCTTTCTGTCAGAGTGGGTGGAGGTAGGGGACACATTCAGGCCACTGCGATTTGCTGTGGTTTCTTTCTTGCTGTCAGGGTGGGGCTGCTGTCTGCCCCAGGCCCCTGCTGCAATGGCTGGGCTCTCTGGCCAGGGCCCCGCCCCTTCTCCCAGAGGATATGGGTCTGCTCTGGCCCCCAGTTAAGGAATATTCTCTGGGGATCTCCTGGGCCTGGCCCAGCTCTGTGCTCCCCTTGGTCCGGAATCTCTAACATTATGCCCCCCACCCCCTGCCCCTGCAAGCCTCACCCACACAGCCAGGTGCCCCCTATCCCCTGCCTCCCCTTTGGCATCCCTAAGTCTGTTTTCCTCCCACTTCTTCTCCCAGTAGCTTCCCCTTGTTTCACTGGGCCTCAGTGCCCATCTTTGTTTCTCTAAAACACTTCCTTAGGTCATAGTCACCTGCTCTGCCCCATGACCCCAGGCTATCTTCATCACCTCCCTTTCACAGGGCTGCTTTCAGCCCTCTTGCTGGCTTTGAGCTTATTCCCTGTGCATAAGTCACTCTGGACCAAGACCCCTCAGCCTCAGTGACCTCCTCTGTGCAATGGGGTGGTGTCCCTGTCAGGCTGAGGCTTGGTGAAGAAGTGTTGGTCTGGGCACTGGGCAGATGCCCAGATGTGTTCTCTGGGCCTCAGTTTCTCCATCTGTAAAATGAGAAGGGTAGGTGATCCAGAAATGTGATGATATATGGTGCAAAAGCCTCGACACTGCAGGTGTCAGTGGGCGTGTGGCTGCCACCATTGGGGTAAGGCTGGCAATCCTGGACCCAGATTTTCTCGTCTCTGCTCTGAGACTCCCCTGCCCCTGCCAGATTTTTGTCCGGCTCAGCCTCTGTTGGCTCTGAGCTGCCCACTTGCCCTCAGTCATCAAGAGACAGTGTCCTGGGGCAGTGTCCTGTCCCAGTACTGGGTTTGTGACGTAGGGCTCATCTCTTGCCCTTCTGGGCTGTACTTTTCCTTTCTGTGTGTAGAAAAGGATTTGAGAGTGCAGGTCTTTGGCACCTGTTTGTGCCTTGCCTTCTCTTCCCCTCCTCAGAGCCCTCCGCAAACCCTGCCTTCTGCAAGGGTCTTCTCCCAAACTAACCCCAAGCCCTTACCCCACCCAAGAGCTAGGATCGGCGGATCCCGGGTAAGTGTGGGATCCCGTCTAAGTGCCCTGTTAAGCAGGAGACGCCCCCTGCCCCTGACTGGGGACTTCCCCTATGCAGGGTCTGTGTTGCCCCCAAAAGCCTGGAAGTTCCTCCAGGGCAGAGCCTGTGTGTCCTCTCTCTGAATGTCCCATCACAATCCTCTGAAATAGAGCGTGCTCAGGGGACCATTGGTTTAGTCAAAGGGCAAAGGTTGTCATAAGCTGCCTGTGATGTGAGGGGCCAACAAGGTTTCTTCTGCTGGTCTGTGTCTCTCTGTCATAACCTGTATTATGGCTTTCCATTTTTCCCTTCTGTGCACAGGGTGGAGGTGACCTGGCTTTTTTTTTTTTAAATGAGTGACCCAGAGGCCCTCCGATGTCAGGCAAAGGGGAGCCAGGCTGGTGCTCTGGGTGCCATAGGAGCTGCTCGCAGTGGGCAGGAAAGGGCCGGTGAGGATGGATGGGAGGGGCGGGGGCGAGACAGGAAGAACAGTGGTCAGCTGGCTAATGAGGAGAGAAGGCTGAGAAACTGGGCTGAGCAGGACAAAACCTCTCCTGTGAACCCTGCCAAGGGGAGGGGCCCCTTATTAAAACTTACTGGGGCATAGCCAGGCCCCCTGGAGGGAGGGGTCTGAGGGGCAGGGAAGGGGGCTGAGTGGAGGCTGGAGGCAAGTAGGACCCTGGACTCTAGCCAGGCCTCCCCTGGGTGGCTGCTGCCGTGACTGGGCTTCGGTTCACACCATCTGCAGCCCCTGGGCTGTCCCAAAGTGCTATCCCGCCCAGTCCCATCCCACCTATCCTTCGAGGTCCTGGACTTGCTTCCCTACTAATTCAGTCATGGTGTGCAACACCTGGCCCAGGGTGACAGTGGTCTAGACACAGGTTCCAGCCTTGCCCCCCAGGAAGCTTCCAGCTGGTAGGAAGTTTTCAGGGGAGGCCACAGTGGAGGGAGTTTAGAAAGGGGTGTGGGGTCCCATGGAGTGGTGTGTGGGCCCCCTGAAAAGCAGGAGGCAAGCTTGGAGCTCAGAGTTGAGGGTGGCAGCTCCACCCTCCGCAGCCCCCACTGCCTTGTTTATGAGAGACCCAGAGTCTGGTCTGCCCATTGGGGCGTGGAGGGCCTGGGAGGTGGCCACAGCGCTATAGTTGCTGGTGGTTGGGGGGGTGTGAGTGTGAAGTACAGGGTGGGATTTCCCATTTCCCAGTTCTTCCCTTCCAGCTCTGGGCCTGTGACAGCCTGCAGGGGTCACATAGCCCATGGGCTGAACAAGGGTCTCAGTAGTGATGTGGGGAGTGGGAGTTGGGTACACGAAAGGGTGGGAGAGCCTCTCCATTCTTGTCAAGGGCCCTGGAGTCCCTCTTCTCCTGGACAGGGTGGCTCATAACTGGCCGGCCTCCCACTTCCTCATTCCTGTATCCGGGAAGAACATTCGGGACCATCCCACTTCCCCATTTCTCTTGCAATCTGCAAGTTAAGGGGAGATCCTGAGAGGATACCCCAATTCCTGGAGGTCTGAGGCCAGCATCTGTAGTCCAGAAAGGCCTTGTCCTGAATTGGGAGTGAGGCCCATGGACAGGGTCCCTGTAACCTTGAGGGGACGGCAGTGACAACAATAGTAAAATAGCAATAATGACAGCCACCGTTTGCTAAGTTGAGGGTATCCTAGGAGCTGTTTTATGTGCCTTATCTTTATTCTACAGTAAACATTTATTGAAGGCCTGCGGGGTGGCTCACGCCTGTAATCCTAGCTCTCTGGGAGGCCGAGGTGGGAGGATCGCTCATGGTCAGGAGTTCGAAACCAGCCTGAGCAAGAGCAAGACCCCCGTCTCTACTAAAAATAGAAAGAAATTAATTGGACAACTAAAAATATATAGAAAAAATTACCCAGGCATGGTGGCACATGCCTGTATTCCCAGCTACTGAGGAGGCTGAGGCAGAAGGATTGCTTGAGCCCAGGAGTTTGAGGTTGCTGTGAGCTAGGCTGATGCCACGGCACTCTAGCCTGGGGAACAGAATGAGACTGTCTCAAAAACAAAAACAAAACAAAAAAAACCATTTATTGAGCACTTACTGTGTGCCAGGCATAGTCTAGGCACTGCAGCTATAGCAGTAAATCCCTGCCCTCATGGAGTTGTACTCCTTACCATGCCTGCTATTAATATCTCCATTTCACAGATGAAGAAACTGAGGTTGGAGAGGTGAAGTGGTTTGCTTCAGTCTGTATGAGTGGGGCTCCAAAGCCCAGGCTCCCAACACCAGCATGTGCAGTGCATGGAGGGGGCGGGGGCCACAGAGGGAACCAGACTGGCACTCCCCAGCCGGGACACAGACCAGGGAAGCCAGGCCTTGCCCAGCTCCTGACAGCTCACCACGCTTGTATCTGTCTGGGCTCGTCCTTCCAAAGGCAGCTGTGGCCACAGGGTATCCCTGGGGAGAGGCATGCCTCTTTTAACTGGGGCCCCTTTCTTGAGTTTTATGTAAATTATAACACGTAGTCAAAATTAGTCAGTGCTAATTTCCTTCCAGCAGCCTCTAGATCCCTGTCATGCTCTTGACTACCTCTCCTCTCTCCCCTTCACACTCGCCACTCTGGGTACCAGTCAGTGAAACACAGTGGTTGGCAAATTGGGTGTATTTTTATTTTCATTTCATAGATACTTCTTGAGCACCCATTATATGTAAAAGAACAGGGCTGGGTGCTGGGGACCCAGAGGTGAATCCAATCCCGACCCATCTCCTGGCCATGTACCTGGCACCCAGCCACCCAAGCAGGTAATCAATGGGGCACAGAATGTCAGTGGTTGGCCCCGAGGCTCCAGGGTGGCTACCCATGTCCAAGAGAAGGGTGGTTGAGTGCTTCTGGAACCCTCCCCAGTTGTGGTAGCTGCCCTGAAATTCTGGCCAGGGGCAGGGAGAAGGGCAGAGGAGCCTCCTGCTTTGGGGCAGGAAGCAGGGGCTACAGAGTGGGTTCTCTAGAAGGGCGGGGTAGACAGGCAGATTGCCATGCAGCCTCCTGATGCCCTGTCCTTCTGAGCCCTGTTCTAAGAGGCATTCCTGGGCCACCCCAACCTGAACTGGCTGTCCTCTCCCTGCCCCTGTTTGTTTCCTGCGTAGCATTGCGCATGGGTTAATGGTTTCTGTGCGGGTATTTATTTGTTCAGCTCCTCTTCCCCCTGCTGTGAGCTCTACGAGGGCAGAGACTGACGGCAAGGGCAGAGACTGACTGCGTTACTTTTCTTATTTTTATTCCTCCCTGACGTAAGCGCTCAGTGCCACATTTGTTGACTGGTTGAATGAGCACATGGAGGCAGAATGGCAGAGTGGGAAAAACGGGGGCTCAGAGAGACCCGCTTTGAATTCCTGGCTCTGTCCTCCGCTAGCATGAGAATGGCAAGTCACTTCTCCATTCTGAGCTTCAGTTTGCTGTGACATGGAGACAATGATGCTACCACCTCGGAGGGTCATTGTAAGAGTTCAGTGAATGACGTGTGTAAAATGTTATACAGTGGCCAGGTGTGAGGAGGCTGCTGCTATTTTTACCGTTATTATTTCTGATATTGGGTTGGGATTATCTGCCCGGGGGGTTGTGGGGAGGCTCCCATGGGATGGTTTCACAGGGACGCATCCCTTGTGTGGCCTGTGGACCATGGGGCATGTCCTGGTGCTGTCTTACAGGGCGTGAAGGAGGGGGGCGAGAGGCCTCGGGGAGCACGGACGGCGGACAAGGCTGGCTGGATCAAGAAGAGCAGTGGGGGCCTTCTGGGTTTCTGGAAAGACCGATATCTGCTCCTCTGCCAGGCCCAGCTGCTGGTCTATGAGAACGAGGTAAGGACCGGCTTGGCCCCCAAGCAGGTTGGGGATTCTGGGGCAGGGGCAAAGCAAGGGCAGCCCCAGCCAGCAGGAGAGCCCTGGGACTGGGGATGGAAGGGCTGTTCCACTTTTGACAGGCTGTACAACCTGGGCAAGCACCTCACCTTCTCCAGGTCTCTGTTTGCATATGAGGCAGATCTAGGGTTGCTGGATGAGAGATGCTCTGTGGACCATATGTGCATCCCATGTGTGAGTCTCTTCCTGTCCCTTGGCAATATTCCATAAGAGTGAATGTTTCAGGCCGGGCGTGGTGGCTCACGCCTGTAATCCTAGCACTCTGGGAGGCCGAGGTGGGTGGATTGCTCGAGGTCAGGAGTTCGAAACCAGCCTGAGCAAGAGTGAGACCCCCGTCTCTACTATAAATAGAAAGAAATTAATTGGCCAACTGATGTGGAAGAAGAGGCTGGCCAACACCTGGGTGGTCTGACTTGGCCTTGGGGAAAAGCTAATCTTCTGTCCCTTACCAGTCTGGGTTTTTTTCCCCCCCCCCACTTCTACGGTTCAAGCTTCACTCCTGGGCAGACCACCCCAGGCCTGCCCAGGGCCGCTGCACCTGCCCCGCACCTATTCTCCCTTCTCTGCTTTGTAAAGCGCATTTTTTACGCAATTTGTCTTCCCACCTGCTAAAGGTCCGTAAGTGAGAAACTCGAGCCTGTGGCAGGGTACAAAGAAGCCGTGTGAGTCCCTGTCTCCCAAGGAATTCTTGTCCTTCTTGTTCGATGGTATACTCAGAAAATTTATTTTTAATTAATCTTTTTTCCCTCTAGAAGCTTGGAATTACATAGCTGGAAGGCTCTTAACAGCTGAATCCAGCTACTACCACATTTTATAGATAATCATGGAATAAATTGACCCTTTTTTCAAATGAGG